TCATTTTTGGCAGACGATAACCGTACAATTAATTGAAGTAAATTATCAAGACGAACTGGTCGAACACTATCCACATTTTTGCTAAGCTCTTCTTCGCTGGCATCCATAAATTGTGTGATGAGATCACCTTGTTGTAACAGGAAGTAACGTTTCACCGACGATATGTGTCCCATCAAATTGTTTTCATCCAAAAATAGCTCGAGCAATGTTTTCGATGCATTATGATAGGCTTGTTTTATGAAAGTTGAATGTTTATGATTCATAGCGGAAAACTCCAATTTTGATGAACCTGTTGGCGGCGAAATTTGTTTACCACACTGACGAATGACATTCAAATATTTTCCAGTTCGAAGAATAATATCGGCATCATTCTCAAGAAAACGAGGAATACGATCAGAACGAATGGTATACTGGCATTCCCAGTAACGAGCCGTGTCATAATCTACCATGTGAAGAATTTGATCTTGATTGCCCAATTCATGTCCATTGTCGGTAACGAAAAACTGGTGGTACGGATCAATAATGACACCTTTAAGAATCCAACGTTCGAGCATTTCTATATATGGCAACGATGCTCGTTCAGTGAGCTCAATCAACATCTTTTGCGACATTTGGTCACCAGTTTGTAGTGTTATTTCATCAAATAATAGCGATAAGATTGAACCGCCTTGTAAATCAGATTTGATGATTTTTTCCACTAATTCGGCTAAAATGTGCAATGTTTGCATATTGGGACGCACCAAATATAATAGTTTGTGTAAATTCAAAACATTTTTCGAATGCTCCTTTTCCAATTGCGTAATGGATACACGATAATCATTCAAAATGTTTTGCAATATTTCGCTAAGTGCCTGCAAAATTTGATTGTTTGCCTTTGAGCTCCATTGTGTGAATTTCTGAACTACTGAAAAATGGCTGGCCATCGGAAGTATATCTTGTACAATGTTTTGCAGCGAAACATCGATTTGACTCGATATTTTAAATGAAATCGGAGTAAAATCATAATCAGTGTCTGCTGTAAACTGTGGCGTGATGTAGTCACCAGGTATACCAATTACGCAATAAATCAGATCATCTACAATAAGTTGTTCTTGTCGTGATATTGGCAGAGCCGCGCAATTTATAACTTTCGATCCAATAGGCAAACTATCATGTGTGTTTTTGTTAAAATAAAGTAGACTGTGCGGTCGTGAATCAGTAATGGAAAACTGATTCAAAATACTATATTCATTGTTGTTTTGCTGTTGCTGCTGCTGTTGTTGGTGATATTCATTTGTCGCTGCTTTCACTTTTTTCAAAATGTCCGAAATTTTTGAATCATTTATTTCATCGTCTGTTCCTGTTGACTTTACAGTCTTTTTCTTTTGCGCTTGTTGAGCCTCTTTGTATTCTGTGAATTTCGATAAATATTTGTCAAGAAAATTTTTCAACCATTGCTCCGGTTTATGTGTTTGCAAATGTGTTGAATTTGTCTCATCGTCGGTTTCGAAAAGATTCAAAGCGAGTGAATCGTGTTTTATGAGATCGTTAAATTGACGTAAAATCGATGGATGCACTGATTCCTTTTGGAATTCACGTATTATTGCACCAGATGATACTTTTTGTCCCGATCGACGAATTATTTTTCGCAGCAAGTCACGTAATTGTTGATCAAATAAGTCAGACATTATTTAGTATCCTTATCTACTAATAAAAATCGGATTTCCGAGCAGAAATCGTCGTTTTTCCCAATGAATTTTCTTGTTTACAAAATTTTCTGATGCCAAATTTATTTCATGTTTATTTTTACAATGAAAAATGTCAAAATCCAAAAATGACAGCTTATTGGCGCTACCATCAGTTTAGAACAAAATTCTGTTCCAAAGTACTAATGCGTTATTTTTAGAAATTATTCGAAAAACTCATGCACATCAATCAAAATAAATACAGTGAAATTCATGGATTCACATAGAATTTTCCCTCTTCCTGTAAAGGATCTACTTTCTTCTTCGGAAAATATGGATTGTGCTCTGGATCGGCATTCAAACTGTATGGATAATGTTTAATATTATTATTATCTTTTTTTAATTTGTGGTTTTTCTGACTTACTTATAGAAAGAAGGAGCTTGATTGCAATCCACATTATACCTGGAATTAAAAAATCTATTATATAAGAGTTTTGAATAATGTTGGGAAATATATCCATACCACCAGTCGCATGTAAATTCTTTTTGATTGAAAATTGTTCCATTTGTACATAGAAATGAAGACTCGGGATGCCCTTCGTGGCAAACACTGTAAGAAATGTTCGTAACTTAGTTATAATATGTATATAAAAATTATTTATTTTCACTTATACTCACTGATAGCTCTGACAACCTGTCTCCACATTAGCATACATTCCAGGTATAGCAGGGACATTTCCGCAATGGAAACTTGTTGGTGGAACTTCATGATAAATTGGATAGTCATGTCCTGGAATACCTGGAATTTTATGCAAATCCTGCTCCGGTTCCTTATGACGCTCTAGGTACTTAGCAGGCTCTACAGCGTTGTACAATGATCCATAGGTCTAGATTGAAATTCATTTCAAATATCATCAAACGTTTTAATTTATTTAATCTTGTAAAATTCTTCAATTTTTTTAATAATAAATAATTTCCTTTTCATAATCATTAATATACATATAATTACTATTTCAATGCTTCATTAAATACAAATATCTTAGTAATCATTTAAGAAATCCATCATGCAGAACTCGCAAAACGTAATATAAACGAATTATGAAATCTACAGTAGAAAATAAACATTTAATAATTGGGCCATTATAATTGCTTGGTATGCGTAACTTTCAAACTGGTTTTTTTTTTGTAAAATGTGAGTGACCGCAAGTTTTTTATGCAAACTAAGAATCGAATAGCATTTGGATTTGTTATTCGTGTATGTATATAAGTCTTAAACAGTAAACCTTTGTTAGTTGTGATTGCGTTTAAAATATATTGAAGGTGATCACTATCTTCTATCTAGTAGATAGATAGATAGTATCTATTGTACATGAAACAATGAATAAAACATGGAACAATGAAAATTAGTACTACGTTGTTATATAATATATATTTGTGGTGAAGTCATATCTGATCATATTTCGAAATTTACAAAATATCTTGTTCCAGTACATCCAGAGAAGCACTTAATAATTTGTATTATAAGAAAAGCACGAATGGAAGTGATATAAATATTATATATCTGGAAATGAAATTTTACACTGTTGAGAATTTTCATTTCACAGCAGAGAATTGAGAATTTTCATTACCATAATAGAACAATTTAAAATATTTTTAAGAATTTTTCGAATTAATTAAAACATGGCCCGTATTTTTTTTTTTTTTTTCATCAATAAACTCTTTTAGTGAATGAACTATCTTGGTTCAAAAAAAAAAAATTAAAAAAATTACTCACATCAACGCGAACGCTCTGAATAATACCAAAAGATACAAATAATAAAATAGAAAATATCCATTTACTCTCTGTTTTCAATAAATACATATTTACAGTTCCAATTTTTCTTTTTTTTATAGAAATTTGTAAAGAAGTAAAGAAAAAAGCGTTCCGATTACGACGAAGCTCAACGTGAAACTATCGTAGTTATAAAAAAGTCTTTTCAATCACAATTTACCGGAATAATCGGCTATTTCCCCATCAAGCAACAGAAACCATGAACGGGCAAAAAATTGAAGCCGAATCAAACAGAGTGGGAATAGCGGAGTAGCAATCAAAGCAATTAAATAACACTACAAATTCATCGAGCCGATTCAAGGCTGTGAAAACAGTTCTTCTGATTTTTGAAATTGAAAAAGTAAAATATTAGGCAAACTTACTTAAAAATGACTATTCCATTACTCTACAATTCCTGATCAATTTCTTCGATTCATTTTCCATTCTGTTCTATTACTTATTGATTAATTTCCATTTTTTTCTTCTGATCAACTCAAGGTAAAATATTAGAATGTTTCCATGTGCATTTAATTTCAATGATTGGAATTTTCACATCCCTGTTTAAAGTTTAAGAAAAATAGTTGTAATTTTATTGAATGTGGAGCAACAACATCGTAAGATACAAAAAGAATCATTTTTTGTATTGAAATAGAGTCATATTGGGTTACTGTTATGCATTAAGGCCATACAGTTCAAAACCACTTTCACTATATCATTCAAATTGTTGTTTTGCTGGTCTTTTTCATATGTTGTGATTTTTTTCAGATTGCAATTAATGTAATAAGCTAAGCCTGCCAGTTCGCCCGTTTTTTTTTAAATTATTGACGGTTTTTAAGAATAGTTCGAATAATTTTGGATTTTTTCAAAAGTTTTAAATTTTTAGTATTTTTGATATTGAAAAAATCATGATTGGAAAAAATATTACGAAGATTTTGTGAGGCCAATATTCTTGTTTTGGTTGAAAAAAATTAATTTTAACAGGATTTTCAGTTGACAATTTTGTGTTGCATCGTCTGGATTTCACACCGATAATCCGGACCAGATCGAGGAAAAAAACTGACAAGCTGACGCTGTGATTTGGTTTTTTACTTATTTTTAGCTTTTTTTTAAATATGACTTATTCAGTCAGTTTGGCAATATAACAATACATTTTCATACAAAATTTGTCATTTTTAGCTATCATTCAAGTCAAAAACTTGTCATTTCAGAACTGGTGAATATTTTCAGTATTTTGCTCATCATAATATATTGAAACAACATGCCCAAAATTATTGATTTCTGAGGTTAAAAAGTATTATTTTTGAAACCTCGAAAATCGTCATTTTAAGGCACTTTGTATGAAAAATCCTTAGGTGGTTCCAAACTTTCTGGCGGCACTGTAGATTGAAATATTTAAATTTAATTTATTATTTATTATTAGACTTTTTGGTTTCAAATGAAATAACAAGTTGAGTCTTAAAAAAAGGCATCAAAGAAATAATTTCAAACTTTTCAATTATCAATTATATTTATAAGTTAAAGCTCTCTCTGTTTATCAGTTCAAACATTTATTCGCCCAAACTTATAAACCAAAGAGTTGTAATTTTCCTTATGAATGATAAAAAATAGATTTTTTTGTCAAAATTTTCAATTTTATTTATTTTTAGATCAATTATGTGAAAAATCGCTTCCACTCTTTATGTCCAACGATGATTTTTTTGTTGCTCTCATCACGTTCTTTTCAATTTTTCAGCAATGTTTTTTTATATGTGTGGCCACCAAAAATTTATATTGGGGAACCGAATGGGATGTCATATCCAATATTTTCCATTAATTTTGTTATATCACTCAATATCTGTAAAGATAACGGGAAAAAATGATAAATAAAATGAATTCTGTTGCATTGAAGAAATTGATTTTCCACAAAAAAAAAAAAAAAAAAAACATCAGACTGATAAAGAGCACTACCTGTGATGTAACATAGTCATGATGGTAATATTTGATTGTGGAATGAGTGTGTAATTTTTTTTGATTGACAGATGCAGGTGTTTTGATAATATGATGAATATCTGTGATAGGCGTACGAACTGAGCAAAAATTATTGAAATGTTGGTTATTTGAAACGTGCAAATATCTATTGTACTTACAATCTTTCTGCAAGCTGAGCAATGGATTTTGTATGTTGGCGTTTGGAAGTGTAAGTTTTCGATAAATTGGCTGATAAACTGTTGTTTGAATTGGAATCGTTTGGATTGGTGTATTCATTGACCTTTCTTCGGTGGTGCGTGGTATTGGATACGTTGTTTCACTAACTGGCAAAGGATTCAATACACCAGCATTATCCATGAATAGATTATCAGAAATCACCTTAAATACTGGACGCAAGTCATTGTTTGAATATGGATAAACCTAAAAGGTATGGATTAATTGAAAAGAATTTTTTTTATAAAAAAATAGTCGTTTTGTTACCTTTGGATTCCTTTGTTCCAAAATTATACCATCTGGTATAGCAATTCCTTCTTTTTGAAGTCGATTAAGTATCAAACGATCTGTTTCAAATGCTGATTCGGGAATTTTTCCGCCAGAATGTGGCTGAACTTGCTCACGATATAACTGACGTTTCTAAAATGAATTTACAACCAATTCATTACAAAAATCTACACTGACTATTAAATCATATTCACCGTTATGCGTTTACATAATCCTCTATTCAACTGAATGGCAACAATTAAAAAGAAAGTCGATATCTGATTGCTTAATTTCATTTCAATCCTCAAAAAAATTAAAGTTTTAACACAGCATCTAATTTGTTAGATGGCTTCGATGCATTTACTTGCATAGTTCTTATTCATTCACTGTGAATTTACATTAGCATTTGAAACTTTAACCAGAATTACAATAAATTATTATTTTGAATTACTACGTACAATGTATGTTCAATGCAATGGCCAAGAAAGATATAATCCTCTATATAAAGAAAACAGTCCAATTTATACGGAATCTGCACTTGAACTGTTTGTATTTTTTTTAAAGATCACAATAAAACAACGTGCAATTAAATGGTTCAACGCATAAATAAATTATATATAAATATAGTAAACGAAACACAAGAATAATATAACAGCTAAAAATGATAGTAATTGGGAGTGTTGTTGGTAAAATTGTACGAATTTAATGAACTGTCTAGAAAAGTGCAACCAGGTGGAATAAGCTTAAGCTTGCATTCCTAAGTACCTTAATATTGAATATTTATGCACAACATTTATGAAAAATTCATCTTAAGCCGACGCAGAATGTAAACACACAATATAAATTAATTCAGAAAATTCCAACTTTTGTCCATTTTTCTAGTCCCCTCTCTCTGCAATTCAATAACCGAAAGTAATTCAGTTGGATGGATAAAAATATAAGAAAGAAGTTTATTTCGATTGATAAAATTGCTACCATTGTAAAGTAATATGATAATTAAGTTTTAAATTTCGAAAAGATTTTATATTTCATTATGTAATAAATTCTAATTTCAAGCCATTTTACATGCATCATTGAATTTTTATAAAGAGAATTAGTTATGAAGTGGAAATATTACGTTTTAATAGAAAATAATAAATAGATTTATGAAATGAATTGCTGTATTTTCTGGTTGAACAATTGCGAAAATAAAACGGTTAATAGATAATAATTTCGAAATATTTTCACTCTTTTTCAATTTTTCTATTTCAACCGAAAAAAGTTACCTGAAATCTTAAAATGAATAAAACGAATTTATTTAAAGTGAAATCATACAACTAAAAAGAATTGTTTATATAGCTCAGTGTCAGTGTGGTTCTTCCGTCAAAATCGTTTCCATGGAAACAGTCTTGTTATGGACAGTGAATAATGCGCTTGGTATTGTTTTGAATAAAAATATTATATTGATTTAAAAAAGATAAAATGTTTCACAAAAAGAATGAAATTCGTTCTGGTGAGTATACAAAGTCAATTTATTTATTAATCAATGAACAGCGTTATACGGATGCAATATCAGTGCTATGTAAAATACCTGAATCAACGAATTGTCGCGCTGGATTATCGCTACTCGGGTATTGTTACTATCAGTGCCAGGAGTATATTGAAGCTTCAAATTGCTACGAGCAACTGTGTTTACTAGTCCCAAATGAACCGGGATATAAATTTGCATATGCTCAATCATTATTCCAATCGGGACTTTTTGAAGAGGCATTCAAAATAACAACAACTATTGAAACACCTGAGTTAAGGGAGAAAATCTTACAACTGCAATGTGCTATTCGATATTTCAATGAGGAATATAGCAGCACTCAAACCATACTTGCTCAACGAAATCCATATCACGAGTCAACGTTGAATGACGAAGGTTGTTTACTGTTTCAAGCCAACGTATTTGATGAAGCACTTCAGAGATTTACAGCCGCCTTACAAAACGGTGGTTTTAATCCATTAACAGCTTATAACGCAGCTATGTGTCACTATCGACGCAAAGAAAATGCACAGGTAATTTTTACAATGATAATTATTACAATTATTGTAATTCTACGATTATTGTAATTCTTACTATTAGGCTCTAAATTATATATCCGAAATTGTTGAGAGAGGTATTCGAAATTATCCGGAGCTTGGAATCGGAGCCCAAATTGAAAACGAGGGTGGCGCACGGAGGTATGAAATTTAAATTATTTATAATAATACTTTTGTTAAAAAAGCTATATTTTCAGTGTTGGAAATCCACCTTCCTTAGCAGCATCTGGTTTAACACAAAGCTTGAATCTTAAAGCAGCCATTGAGTATCAAGAAGGGAATTTAGATGGGGCCCGAGAAGCTTTAATGTATTGTTTATTTATTATAATAAGAAATTGAAATAATAATTATATTTATAATTGCTAGGGACTTACCTCCGAGGTCAGAGCCTGAACTTGATCCAGTTACGTTGCATAATCTAGCTTTAACTGATACATCTGGAGGAATTGGGACAAGTTTAAGGCGCTTGGCCTTTTTACTTGAAATAGGCCCACCAACATGCCCTGCAGAAACATTTGCGAACATTCTGCTGTTGTCTTGCAAACAAGAAATGTATGATACAGCCGCCGATATATTAGCTGAACATGCTCATCTTACATACAAATACTTGTCAACTTTTTTGTATGACTTACTCGATGCAATCATCACTGTTCAAACCAGTCGTGAGGAGGCTGATCAAAAACTAGAAAAACTATCGGCACGTTTAACCACCAAATTGCGTACATTGACGGCAAAAATACAGGAAGGTCGCGCTTCAAATGATGATGATATAGTTAAACGAACACTTCGAGAATATGAGGAAGAACTGGAGAACTATTTACCAGTTGCCATGGCTAGAGCATGGTTGTATTGGTTGGATGATGATTTCGGAACGGCTGAGGTATGATTTAATTGAACAGGATTTTTTTAAATCAAAACCTTTGGATACCTTTCTTCCAAAATTATGCCATCTGGTATAGCAATTCCTTTTTTCAATTCGGTAATAAATGATCGATTTGAAATGCTGATTCGGCATCTAATTTTTCTACATTAGCATTTTAAACTTAAACAAAAATTAAATTATCATTTTATTAGAGAGAGTTTCGAAGTTCCGCTGAATTTTGTTCCGAATCACCGTTATGGCGGTTGCATGCCGCCCATGTTCTATTCATGCGTGGCGATAAATATAAAGAAGCAGCAGCATTTTATGAACCAATTGTTCGACAAAATTACGGTGATATTTTGAGCGTATCGGCGGCAGTATTGGGTAAGTAAATAAGATAATACAATATATACGCACTTTATAACTAAAAATAATTTCAGGGAATTTATGTGTTTCGTATATAATGACCTCGCAAAATGAAGAAGCTGAAGATTTAATGCGTAAAGTACAATTCACCTAAAAATTACTTTTCTATTATTTAATAATTTTTTCTTATTGATTCTTTTGATTATTGTTCGATTGTTTTCATTATCGTCATTTACATTCACTTTCGTATCCAATTTCATTTTCATCATATGTTTCCATTAATTCGATTATTTGTGGCTTATTTTAAATTATTTTCAATTTGATGCTCAATTCTAGGTAAAGTTGAACGAGCGGAAGAAATAAAAGGCAATGCAAACGGACATTGCTTACATTTGTGTATTGTGAATCTGGTCATCGGCACTTTATATTGTGCAAAGGGAAACTACGAATTTGGACTATCACGAATAGCACACGCTTTGGATAATGCAACGGCAGGATCTAGATTATGCCCTGACACCTGGTTTTATGTCAAGAGATGTGTGTTGGGACTTTTGACCGGGCTTGCAAAACAAACATTAGTGCTACCTTCTGTTGTAATTGAAGAAGTTATAAACTTATTGTATACATGCCAAAGTGCACATATGCCTGCTGTTTTTGAAACTACATCTGATGAAAATCTCGATGAACCTCAAACAATTGGCTTGGAAGCAAGAAAACTGAATGCTTTGCTGTTACAAGCCATTGAATATGAATGAAATCATTTATAACTATAAGAGAAAAAAAATAATTGAGTTTTTCAGATTATAATATTAAAAACGTTTGATCATCAACAAAAATTTGAAATGGCTTTATTTTAGTACGAAACTGCCTTAATGTACTAAAATTCACTTTGAAATTTGTATTAACATAACCTTACAATTATGAATGAAATAAATTTTAGAATGCGTAATACGTCTGTCACAAAGGTACACACGTGTTGAAAGAAGCAATTTATTTATTTAACTTGGATATTTTTGGAATATTACAAAAATAAACGTAAGTCGAATAGTACCAATTTTACAGAATTTCATTGATATAGTTTTCTAGTTTTCATGATGAAATTTTTTTGGACCATTGAGTTCGCATCATTTACCGTGATCGGAAATGTTGGCAAATAAATGAAACGATTAATCTTCTCTCTGATTTTTTCTTTTTGAGTTTTCACTTTAGTTTTTCAGTATTGAGTTTATAATTCGTCGTGATTTTTTCAGATTCTGGCAATAGAAAAATGGAGGAAACGAGTGAAAGTGATGATAAACAATTGCAATTCCATCAAATGGAGATAGACGATAGAATTTTGAAGGCAATTGCTTTGCTTGGATGGATGACACCAACACTTATTCAAGAGAAGGCTATACCTCTATTACTAGAAGGTAAAGACGTTTTAGTGCGAGCGAAAACTGGTTCAGGTAAGAGTATTTCTAAAATTTCATCAAACCAATATCTAATGCTGAGAATTTTTTTTATATATTGGTAATAATTCTATAAAGTCCATATGACCTGTCAGCTCTAGCTCTTTCTTTTTTCTTTTAATGATATTCTACAGGCAAAACAGCTGCATTTGCAATTCCAGTTATTCAAAAAATCTTAAAAATGAAAAAAGAGACATCAATCACTGAACAATTAATCACGACATTAGTTTTGGCCCCCAGTAAGGAACTGTGCCAACAAATAAAGTTATCATTTGATGAACTCACAATAAAATGTCAAAGAGATGTTCGTTCCATTGACTTGTCGTCAACTGTTACCGCAAGTACGGTTAAACACATGTTAGCTGAACGACCTGATGTTGTAATATCAACACCGGCGAAAATACTGACTCAACTGAAATTAGGAGTTGTAAAGTTGGACGCTTTGGAAACAATAGTTATTGATGAAGCTGATCTAGTATTTTCATTCGGTTTTGAAAACGACCTTAAGGAAGTTCTCAACTATTTACCATCGATTTATCAGGCAATTTTAGGTATATATGCAATAAAGGGAAAAGTGGTATGATGAAAACTTGTTCTAATGGGATATATTTTTAATTCCAGCATCAGCAACACTCAGCGACGATGTGACCACATTAAAAAGACTGGTTTTACACAATCCAGTTATATTGAAACTTGAGGAGCCAGAATTGGCACCAGTCACACAGTTGACACACTATCGTATCTTGGCCGAAGAAAGTGACAAAGCAGCGATTTTATACTCCCTTCTTAAATTGGAATTGATTCGTGGCAAGAGTATCATTTTTGTAAACACCGTAGATCGATGCTACAAGTAATTTTCAACGCAATTCCCCATTTTTTTCTATCATGATGCACAAAATATGTTCGGACTAATGAGATATATGTAATATGTATGGATCTAATTAAAATGTATAATTTTTTCTTTCAGGCTGAAACTATTTTTGGAACAATTTTCTATAAAATCTTGTATCCTTAACTCAGAGCTACCGGCCAAAGTACGATGTCATGCTGTTACACAGTTTAATCGAAATTTTTACGATATAATTATTGCGTCAGATGAACAAGCCTTGAACCAACCAAAAATTAAACAAGCGAAAGTCGGAAAAATTGACAAAGAGTCTGGTGTGGCTCGAGGAATTGATTTTCAACATGTATCGAATGTGATCAATTTTGATTTTCCTTTAGATGTTAGTTCATATATCCATAGAGCTGGTCGCACAGCGAGAGGGAATAATATTGGCACTGTTTTATCTTTTGCCGATTTCGAGGAAAAATCTCTCTTGGACTCTGTAGAACAGCATCTCAAGACTGGATACTCAAGTGGAAATGATGTTATAAAAAATTATCAATTTAAATTGGAAAAGGTTGATGCATTCCGATATCGTGCTAATGATGCCTGGCGGGCCATCACAAAAGTTGCTATAAGAGATGCTCGGGTTAAAGAAATTAAAAATGAGATGATCAACTGTGAAAAAATGAAATGTTTCTTTGATAACAATCCACGTGATTTACAACTTTTGCGGCATGATAAACAACTGGGGACGGTGAAAAAGCAAGCACATTTAGCCGATGTACCTGATTACATTGTACCACCTGAATTAAAGCGTCTACAGAGATCAACAGCAAGTAACAGTAATAAACGAAAGAGATCTTATGCGAATAATAAATCGAAGTCAGCATTTCAACTCAAACAAAACAATCCGTTGCTAGTTTCGAAGTTTGATTACGCAAAAAAACGTAGAAAATAAACGTTTTAAATTATGTTTCATTGATTTATTTCTAAGATTAAAAGAACATTTGGAAAAAATATAGCATTTGTATTTTATTTTGGTAATTTGTAGCCACCCAAGAAAAACAATGTACATTGTACATAATATCGTTGCGATGACAATTGTAAGTTAAGTTCTAAACTTGTTATTTCTCTCATTTTTCCATATGTAGCCAACTTTACTCTGTACGTTGTCTTTCAATGTTTTGAATTAATGTCAGTAGCTTAACGTCAAAATCACACAAAAAGTATCTAACTTTTATCGTCGAAGCACGTTGTTTATAGTTATGGATAATATTTCGTCGGGAAATTCCATTGAAATGGACTATGCCATTATTGATGCGCAAAATGATACACAATCTTTAGGAGTGTATGTTGAAATACTACGACGAAAAGATGCGTAAGTATACAATTTACTCTGATTCAAATAGTTATTTGTATAAGAATGATATTTAACATTTTGTTTGTTAGAAGGCAAATTGATGAAAATGAATTGTATCGATTGGTATTCGATTATTTGAAAGAACGAAAAATCAATCAAACACTTGTCAAATGTGAAAATGCGCCCATTTCTGATTTGGTCGAAGAAATCACAATCAATCAGCCATTTTGGGTACGAATCCAATCAATTTTAGTGAGTTATTATATTTGTTTCACATTAAGTAAATTTGATTGTAGTTCCAAAACGCCAAATTTGAAGATGTCCAGTTCTTTGCGTACACTGTAAATTCGCATGCTGCTGAAATGGAAACAATTGAGGTTTGACGGGATATATAAAAAAGAATTGAAACAATTTATAAATATTTTTTTATTCTCAGACTGCTGACGGTGATATGGAGGATATTCCTGCATCACAGCATTGGATTTTACCAAACCGAGAATTTCAAGGATTGTGGGTAGGAGTTGCAATTCCATTATTTCGATTTTATAAAAATTCACCCACATAAATTTCACCCACAGGAATTTTTATATTTTGAAGATGATCTCAAAGAAAATGTATGTTTTTTCTTTAAATAGACTGCAAAGATCTCATTTTCTTTAAATAATACATTGAATTTGTTAATTTATTTCAGCTTTTGCGGTTCTCAAAGAGTTTAATGCTTTTTGCCGAGAAAAAAGTTGACACAAATGCAATCTCTTGCAACAAATTGATTTTGCTCCATGGCCCACCAGGTTGATATTAATTTGATTTACTTCGAATACAATAAATTCCAGATTAAATTAGTGTATAAAATTCTCCCACGTTACCAAAACCAGGTACTGGCAAAACGAGTTTATCAAAGGCACTTGCTCATAAAATATCAATCCATATGAGCTCCAAGTATGAACCTCAACATTTTTCATTCATTCAGAATTTTAATCAAAGTGATTTATTACAGATTTCGATACACACATCTATTTGAAATCAATAGTCACAGTTTGTTTTCAAAATGGTTTAGTGAAGTAAGTATTCTAAGAGTAACAAGCATTGTTTATATTTTCGTTTAAACTAATCGAATTCCGATTCTACAGAGTGGAAAATTGGTAATGAAAATGTTTACAACTATCAAAGGTGAGGTGTAGTCGAATACGATGTATTATAATGTGAGTTTAATATGCAATTTGATTTTATTCTCTATTTCGCTCTACTCAAAAAGATGTGTGCCATGACGCCGAATCGTTGGTTGTAATTTTAATTGATGAAGTGGAATCAATTGCCTATGCTCGTGATACTGTTTCGATTCAACAGGAACCATCCGATTCGCTGCGTGTCGTAAATGCGGTTTTAACACAACTAGGTTTGATTTTCTAATACTTATAAAAGTTCAAACACTTAAATGCTCTTGAAAATAATTAAACAATGATAACGTAACCGAATAATATTTCAATATTCATTGTAGACCAGCTGCGAAACCACAGTAATGTTCTGGTTCTTACAACATCCAATTTAAGCGGTACGATAAAGGGGCAATTCGATTATTTTCGATTATTTTAAATGAATTGTATTCTTTTCTTTTGTGATTCGCCCCTTAGGTACGATTGATATTGCTTTCGTTGATCGCGCTGATCTCAAGCAGTTTATTGGATTCCCTTCAATTCCTGCAATATTCCATATTTTCAAGTCTGCTATTGATGAACTGGTTAAGGTAATTTCAAGTTGTATTTTATTCTGCAATGGCTAAATAATCGGCACTCATACAATTTTACAACAAAAGGTTCAAATCGTCATAAATGAAACTGAGGACAAAAAATGGGGTTCAGCTAATATAGAACGATTATTGGACATAGCTAAGAAAAGTCAAGGTTTAAGCGGACGCTCGCTAAGAAAGTTACCATTACTAGCACACGCATGGTTCATCCATAGCGAAAAGGTTGATTTATTAACATTCCTGGTTGCTCTGGATGGTGCAGTTGAAAAACATTTGACTGATATAAGCGCCATATCGAAATAGACTTACTTGCGATCATTTAAACATATTGTCACACAAAATGAATAAAGTTTGAATCCTTTATATTTTTTTTTCATCTCTGCTTCAATCTTTTGCTATTTTAATAAAAATTTGAAAATTAATAATTTGAAGAGTGTCGTGAATAGGAAGAAATAGTGTTTTAATTTTATTCTCTCTCGTTGAAGCATTGTATGTTACATCAATATTTGCAGTAAATGTGCAGCTTTATTTTAAATAAATAAAACTCCACACTCTAAACTTTGAGCAATAAAGTAAAACGATGAAAAGATTAGTATAACTAATGCCAGAATTTATTAAAAACATCCATAAAGGTGTCGTAAATCATGAATGTGATGGCTACATCAAGACACACGCGTGAAAGCCGTGGCACTGTTCCTTTGTAGAATGCACGTGGACCCTCATTCTTCCATATTTGAAGTGCGCAATCGGCAGTATTCTTATATTTCGACGCTTCAAGTCCTTGCATTCTAGTTTTTACTACATCAATTGGCGTATTGCCAAATACAGAAGCTGCACCAGCAAAAGCGCCAAACATACCTACAATATTTCATATTTTAAAGTCAGTTATTGATGAACTGATTATGGTTATTCCAAGTCAGCTAAATAATCAGTACATACCGACAACAAGTTTTGGTACAGGTTTCTTTGGATCGTCACCTTTGTACATATCCTTCAATGTTTCCATTACATAGAATCTAATCGCTTGATTGGAACCTTGCTTCATGATCGTTGCAGTAACGCCTTTGTAAACTCCCAAAACTCCTTCATTCCTTATAATTGTTGATACCTGGGAGGAATGGAAGTAATGGAAAATAATCAATGAGTAATAGAAAAATTGTCGAAAAAATAGATGGAAATCCTTAAGCAATGAAATAATAATTTTACATACACCGTGAAAGAAACCTTTGTATTGTGGATTTCCACTGCGCTGATCATTGATGAATTTAACTTTAACGGTTTCCATTGGTGTAACGGCAAGAATAGCTTCTGCAACTCCAGCTCCCAAACCAGCCAATAATTTACCTGATAATGAACAGAAAAAGTTAATTAGGATTATTTTCTAAAAAATAAATAAAAAATATAGGACAATATTCCATTAGATAATGAAAATAATTTACCTCCAGCCGTCAATTGGCCATTGTGATCTTGCATTTGTTTTTTAAATGTCTCAAAAGCTCCAAAACTATAGCAAAAATAATTTTCTTTTAAATAATAGAAAAACAACTAGCCGATAAATTCTTTACCGAACTGCTGATTTTGGAATGCTTCCGTATAAGAGGACCGAAAGTCCGCGATATAATCCAAAGAATCCATTTGACTTTATAGTTTTCTTAATGCAATCACCAATTCCATTATACTTCTTGCTTCCACCTTTTTAGAATTTAGAAGTAGAAAAATGTTGTATTCAATTTAATACTTCCGGATGGCTTTTTACTTTGAAGATTTTTTTAATTCAATTTATCTATACCTCACCTTTTTCGTCTAATTGTAGTTGAGTTTTAACATACTCAGTAGGAAATGTGATACAGATCTCAATTCCTCCTGTGATGCCACCGGCCACGATTCCTGAGATTAGAAATTTATATAGATGAATATATATTTAATTTAGTAATAAAAATTAATACCTTTTAAACCAGTTGAACCTCCAGCTGCAGCAGCAGCACAATTATTTTCCATCCATGGTCTTTGGGGGAATGGGTTTCTTTTTGGCATTGGTAATAAAAGTGATCGTTTTGAGTCCATTATTGATCAAATATTTTTTTAGGTAAGAAGAACTGAAAATAGTGATTGTACAATGTACGTAAAGACAAATATTTATTAGTAAAAAAAAGCCATCGTTCATTCTTTATTACTATGAATACAAAAAGTTCATTGATATTAAACTCCAAAGTTCAGTATGTGTATGAATTGCCCGAACCTTATTGTTCATTATTTAAACGAGCAAATATTAAATCCAAACGTATGTGAAGTGTTGTCACTTAATCGTATTTTAATTTATGTAAAATTTGTATTTCTCTTTAACAAACAATGTGAAAACCCTAAAGTGGGAAACGATGTTGAAATAAAGCAATCGGTTATTTACATTTCACTTTAGAATTATATAGTTTTTCGTTCAATGCAATATAAAGTGATGTTTTTATTATACTTTATTTTATATTTATTTGGAACTAATTTTTTATAATTGCTCGAAAAAATCCGAAAAAAAATCAAGAAAGAAACAATTCAAATCAATTGCTGAGAAACTATGTGTTAATATTACTTTAATATCTTTATTAAATTCAAAGTCCACTGAACATTTCACATGCCTACTAAGCTATAAAGAAACATGTAAAAATATTCATATATGTAATATGCGTATTTTCACTTTCACTGTTTTTTATTTGACCGGAATTTGTATTTAGACGTTGTTTTGAATTCAATATGACTTTTTTATTTTACCTGAAAGTGATTTGGTCACAGACTTTTTTCGGAACGGTATTATATAAAGGAGAGGCGAGAACAGTCATAGATGGAATGAATTGAATACCAAACATGAATCTAGTCATAATATCGATACATCAGAAAGGCAAATGACATTCGGCAAGTGTTTGTTTGTGTTTTTGCCGTGTATAATAAATGTATTGGTGTGTTTTGTTTTCACGCTACGTTCCGGATTCCAGTGATTCAGCAGTCTACATTCTACGCGCGTATTACGTCGCATGATTTCAACAGAATGACCTATCAGACATACTGTGTGTGTATCAGTGTACTTTCATTCACCGAAGACTCCAATACAAAAGAAATAACTTTCAAACCACCAGTTCAAAATAACAATACTAGACTGAAGTAGACATGCTCACATTGAGATTTTTGACTGTATGCACGTGCTTTTTACCTACACACTCTCATCAAAAATGTGAAAAGAGAAATATGAGAGACTCAAAAGCACGTATATGGAAACTTGCCACTTTCGCCTTTTGACTCTCTCTCTCTCTCTCTCTCTCTCTCTCTCTCTTTCTCAAATAAGTATATATATCATTTAATGGAACTGCAAAGTAGAGCGTAAAATGTATTTATTTTGTTATTTATACATCTCTTTCGGTGTTGACCGGTAATGATAATATCCCTCAAATAAAAATAAAAATAAAAAAAAAGGTTCCCAAATCATACGGTCAATTGATTAAGAATTGAAACGAACCAAAAAAAAATACTAATGTTAAAAGAATTTTTAATCAAGCGAAAAAACTTAAACGTATTCATAATAATTAATTTATTTTTAAAATTATTTTTTTTTAGTTTCCTTTTCTTTATCATGAAAAAACTTTAGAAACTGAATAATCAAGTATTTGCCCAACTAAACTCGTATTTGTAATATATTTTCACAAAAAAAGCTAGAAAAAAATATTAATAAGAAAAATCTGTTACAATTGTCTTTGAGTTATGTACTGAAGGGCAAACTAAGACTTTTCTTGCATAATCGAATCAATGATAACGACGTATTTGATAATAAATTCAAATCCTTTTTTAAATTGTTGCTAACCCATTATCTTTTTATCAGTGCATTTCAGTGATATAAAAATTATATATGCTACTCGATGCTGAGCGATACTTGATCAAAGCGAATACATATCAGTGATATGATATCATTTGTTACTTACTGAAAAAATGTTATGTTTATGACGAACCGATATTATTTAAATGTATCCGAAAAGCACGTATGTTACAATTTTAGACCGTCTGACTGCTTCCGCCAACGTTAAATGATCGACTGACACAAAAATTTTATTTCTCCAAAGTATACTATTTTTATTTTCAATTCATTCTATCTGAATGAATTTGTTTAAAGCACATATGCATCAAATAGCGGGCCAAATGAACACTGTAAAAGAAAAACGATGATCTGAGTGTGTTAATGATATGATTAAAATCTGGTTTGAGTGATGATTAGATGACTAGTAGCTTTAGAATATATGCTTAGTATATTTGAATTCCGTAATGAAAATATAAACGTAATCAGAATTTATTTTTCAAGTTCAGTAATCAGTTAAAAAAGGAGTAGAAATTACCGTTGTTCGATAAAAGTATACATTGAATGAACATAAAAGTACTATTAAGGTGCTCATAAAAAAAACTTCTTCTTTATTGAATTGTAATATTAAATAAACATCTGTCTTAAAGTTTTCTATATACATCACAATTACATTCGTATTCAAACGCAAGATTGTATTGGTATATCTTTACACGCCACGTTCATCAAATTGAGTAAAATAAACGCTTTATTAGGTGTTTTTGCTTTCATTTGATAATTATTATCAATAGCATCACCACGTCGTTATTAGTTTGTTTTGTATCTTAAAAAAATAGATCTAGTCATTGTTATTGAACTCAGGGATAACGTGAAAAAAACTCTCAACTACAAATGGAAATTAATTCAAAAAACACTTTTTATTCGATTTTTTTAATAATTTTACTATCGGACATAGCCGATAGTGCTGAATTTACATTCGATTTGGCAGATAATGATGAGCAATGCTTCTACGAAGTAGTTCCGAATAATATTCCTTGTAAGCTAGAATTTCAAGTGAGTAATTTTAAATGAATGCCAGTATCGTTATAAATTACCATTTGGATTGCTTTGAAAGGTCGTGAGTGGTGGACAACTCGATGTTGATGTTACAGTAGAAGCACCCAACCAAAATTTAATCTACAAAGAATTACGAAAGGAATATGACACATTCATGTTCAATACGACGGTAAGTCCTTATAACATAATAATTTAACAAAAGATTTTCTCAAACTTTTTTTCAAATCAGTAGAAATCCAAAAAAAATATTATATAATTTTTTCCGCTTACGTGTAAAATACATTCCAAAGTTATCAAACAGAACTACACTCAAAACATCTGTGTGTAATATTTGTTTTCTGTGTGACTGATTTCGAAATAAAGACTTTGGAATATTTGGAACATATTTTTATCAAATTTCTTCATTTTATTTTTCACTATAAGGAAGCCGGCGAATTTGCGATCTGTTTTAGCAATCAGTTTTCAACCTTCACGCACAAATCTATATTCATGTCGTTTGTAGCAGATGAGAAAAATCAACTGTTTGAAGGGTCGAATCATGACATTCATGATACAGTTATGACATTTATGGAAACAACGGCGGAAGAAATTCACGACACTTTGAATGATGTTATAAATGGACAAATGCATTATCGCTTGGTATGTGTTATTATCAAATATAGTTTTATGAATTTCAACATTTGCTTCTTCAAAAATATTTAGCAAGAATCTCATGGACGTCGCTTTGCAGAGGAATTAAATGAACGAGTTCTTGGATGGTCTTTAATGCAGACATTTGTAATTGTTGCCATAAGTGTTTCACAAGTTCTGATTCTTCGAAATTTCTTCAATGAACCAAGATCAGTAAAACCATTAATTCACACACGAGAACCACGCTTTGGTTATGTACATTAGAGTGTTTCTCATATCTATAATTTTAAAAATGGTATTTTTCAATT